ATTACGAAAAGATATTCGTCATTTTAGTGCAATTATTGAATTGCAAAATCCAAGTAATGAATTAATTATTGAATGGGTATTTATTGTAATCTTGAATGTCATATATCTTCAGAAGAAACTGATTTAAATGAATATTGGTTAAGTTTATCACAACAATTACCATTACTTTCTCAAATTGCTTTGAATTATATATGATTTCCAATTTCAGGAGCGAAGCTTAATTATTTAATAATATTGCAGCATAATTTTGCATAATTGTAAATTTTTAACACAAAATATGTGCATAATTGCAAAAATATATGCACTTTTAAATGCATATTTTATTTTTATCGCATGCATAATTGATGATTTATTGCAGCATAAAATCATCGTCCCTGTTTCCAAGCAATGGTAAAAAGGATAAAATCAAACGACTTCTTTTCAATTTGCTTTAGAGACGAAGGTTAAAGAGAATTGTCGAATGAAATTTATAAGCAGAATTTCTGTTTTTTCTTTATTTTTTTTTTTAATTAACCAAATTTTTTGAAAATAACTTTTATTCGTTTCATGCGCTTTCGGAGGATTTATTCATTTCTTGGCCTGTGAAAACCCATTTATGAGTAATTATAATGTTTCAAATTTTTTATTTTATTCAAAGGTTACTAATCTGCGATTGATTTTTAACAGCGTTACTTCTAATGGACAAGGTATGGCTTTCTATTGGCGCGCGGTGACTATTTATTTGCCGGACAAGGACCATCCGATAAAGACCAAGAGTGGATGGGCATGAGATAACCTTCGGAGGAATCGTTATTTAAAGACTTACATGAAAAGTATTAGTTTTATATTTCTATTAAATTAGTTGAAAATTCTCACGGTATTTTAATATTATCGTATTTCGTTATAAACTAGGGAACGGGTTTCGGAAACCGGAGCACCCCAATGTTCCAAATTTGGTTAAGTATATAATTTCTCGACATCCAAAATTAAATAAAAAATTATCATGGAACAACCAAATTGCTATAACTAAAAATTGATTAATTAAGAACAAATGAAACATCTTTAAGTCAAACAACTCATCCTACGCTTAAATTACAATATAAGAATTGTAATAGATGCCAATCGAAAAAGAAAATGAAATTTATCAGATTGCTATAAAGCCTCGGTAATAGATCTACATAAACTAATCATACTAAAAATGTCGATATGATAGATTCAAGGATTTGGAATTTATTGCCGAAAGAGAATTTAGCAAAGCTTATAAAGCAATTATGTTTAAAAATGGTATTTATGAGACTGTTGCTCTCAAGAAACTTAACAATTCTAAAAACATAAGTTCTAAAGAGTTAAATGAAGTACGTAGTTAATTTTAATTTCAATCATAAATATAAACGTAATAATAAATTTTTTATTTCAGCTTAAATTGTATTATTAAATAACTTTAAAACGGAAATACGTACCTAACTTTAGGTATGGAATTACCCAGATCCCATTACACAAGACTTTATGATAATTATGCCATATTATGATTCGGATATGACACATTGCATAAATAAACTTTCTTGGTGGGATATATTTGATAAATTGCAGGCAAGTATGATCGGCCTTAAAGTTTTATATGATTTGATATTATTCACCGTGATTATCACAATGGAATTTTTCCTATTACTTAATATGTATAAAACATCAACCGCAATATCAGATGCAGATGATAATGATATTTATAGGATAATTCCTTATGTTGCACCGGAGATTTTTCAAGGGAAAGAATAAATTAAAGCCTCAGATGTTAGCTGTGGCATGATTATGTGGGAATAGATACCCTTTTGTAATCAAGATCATGATGTAAATCTTATTATTGACATTTATGATGGTCATCGTTACAAATGCTCCCGAAGGTTATGTTGAAATAATGCAAGATTGTTGGCATTCTAATCCAGTCAGAAGACCAACTACTGCTGATCTCGATTCAAGAATTGAGAGTATTGAAGATTCAGAATTTACAAAAGCTACAACTATATCTATAAATTCGCCAGATATTGGCATATAGAAAAATAAACCCGGTGCCATCTATAAAAGTAGATCTTTAAGCTCAATGATAAGATCTGCCGAGTCTACAATATTAAAAGGTCAAAGCATAACTTTAGAGCATTGTGAATTTGCTTTGATATTTTTTCTTTTTTGAAAAAAACTGTTACTAATAATTATATGTTTAATGGTAAAAGAAGATTGACGTTAATTAGATTGATGAAATTACAAAGAAAGTTAGATCCAATGGTAAATATCCTTTTTTGTATATTTTTATGATTTATCTGTTATATATAAATAATTTAACAAATATACACCTTTATTAATTTATAATTGATTACATTTCCAAAAAGATTGGATTTGACATCTAATTATAAATTGATTCCAATTTCAATATAATTTTATATCTGCGATTTAATTGATATTATAAAGATTTTAATACAGTAATACAGTACAATATTCTTTTATTGAAATTATTCATCATTTAACAAATATTCAAAATAGTTTATTTTTTAAGAAATATATGATAAATATTAATATGTTAGTAAATAAATACAGAATATAAAATTTTTAAACTAGAAGTTGCGATATGCGGGGTTCTTTATCAAGGGAATATATCACTAATAATACTTTTATTACGATTCAATTGTGTAGTTTAGTTATTCCATGTGAAGACAAGTGGAAGGTTTGAAAGTGTAATAGTATTTTATTAAAAGTCCGTAAGTTTATCACCAAGACTTGCAACCATCGGACTCTGTCTTTTCGTAATTAAATTTTCAGCACATATATACTAATTCATAGACTACGCATTTACGCAATAACAAACAACATAAATAAAATATACAATACAAATGTAAAATATAAAATAAATGTAAAATTTAACCGAAAGAGGATCTGCATGATATTTACAACATTCGCCGCCGCAGTACAGTGATTCAATCAGTTAATTAACCGGTTAAAAATTAACCGGTTCCAATTTAAAGTATGAAAATACAATTAATTTATTTCTGTTAATTTCAAAAAAGGAAGGAAACTGGGATAAGAATTAATTTCCAAATTATATCATATGATAATTTTTTGATCATAAAATTTCGTCATTATCTGTTTAATTAGGAATCGGATACCGTTGAGTCTGGAGCAAATAATGTAAAACTAAGATCGATTAAATCATTGGGTGAAGATCAGATAATCAAACAGAGAGACTCTCTGACCAGGAATTTTTTTTCATAGTGCGTAGACATACTGTATAGCTTCGCTCCGAACAATAAAATTGAAATTCAAAGTCGTGGTATTTCCAATCCAGAAGATACATGAGACTTGACTCCACAAAAAATATTCTAAATTTGTATGCTTCTAACCTAAATCTGGTTAGATCGATAATAAATTATTAAATTTTGCTTTTTTTCTCTTAAGACTAAAAAAGAAAATGACGTATTATCTTTTTTTGTTCTTTCTTTTTTGATTTTTTGGGTTCAATCTTAGGGCGTAGAGACTAGATAATTATCTTTATTTTTTGATTTTGCGTTCTTTATTTCTCATTTGTCTTTCGGTTTTATCAAAACCGATGGTTGTCAGGTTAGACGATGATCAATTTGGCTAATAATTAAAAATTTTAAACCTTCTGCTTATCTAATGTACGATTAAGTATAATTAATTTAAAATTTAATCTAAGGAACTAAGTGTGGTATAGTAGTGCCATGCCAGTCGTGACAAATTCTGGAGTCATTCAGGCCATTTAAGACTTTCAGTCGACTCAGCCGTCGACTGAGTCGAGACTCTCATTTGAAGTTAGCGATCATAATTATCTTAATATTTATCAAAAAATTTTTAAAATTTAATTAATGTTGCAAAAAGTAGATAATTATAAGTCTCATCGTAAATAATGTTGACAAGAATTCTATTTGACTAAAAGTTTGAATTTTATTTAATTAAAAATTTTCACAATATTCTGAACTTGTATCAAATTTGGAATAGCGACTCAGTCATCGCTCAGTCATTGAAAATTACGAAGTCGACTCGACTTGATTTTTCCAGAGTCGACTCAGCCGTCGACTCTGACTCCAACGTCTGGTACTACTAGTGTGGTATAATTTAATTATTACATATCATAACTTATCATCCTTTAATTATTTTATTCTTTAAAATATAAGGTGTGTTTGGAATTAACCAGAATCATCTATTGCAAAAATTTTATTTTTTTAAAATTAAAGAAAAATAATAATTAAATAAGATGTAAATATTTTAGCTAAATATGATATTTGCTTTACATTAATAGATTCTAATCGATTTTGTTTGTGTGTGACATTTTTTTAAATGCGAACTATCATCCAAAAATAGAAAAATCTTGTTAAAATAATTTGTTTGCAAAAAAAAAGATAATTAAAGAAGCTGAATTAGATATCTTATTACATTAATATAAAATTGTATACACTATTTGAAGCTATATGTAAAATTATTGAATTGGATTTTCTTTTATAAATCGAGATAAGATAAAATTATTGAATTGGATTTTCTTTTATAATCGAGATAAGACAAAATTATTGAATTGGATTTTCTTTTATAATCGAGATAAGACAAAATTATTGAATTGGATTTTCTTTTAATTATATAATGAATAATCATTAATCTTGGTAAAATTTTGATAGAAAGAGGAAGATTTCATAATTTATTTTCTACAACAATAAGGAACACCTTTTCATGGCCAATATTCCAAACATTATCGAATCGGTATGTAATCGAAGCAATCGAAGCGGAGCCGATGAAATGTAAAAATAAAACCCAACCATCATTTGTCAACCTTTTCTATACTTCTTGTCTTATAAAAGTATATTGTGTATATTAAGTATTATATTTTGATCTTGTTATAAATGTTCATTTAATTTGACACTTCATTTTTTATGAAGTACATTGATAAAAGATGAATTTTCTTATATGTAAATAATTTATGAAGGAATAAAGCAAAGTCCAAAAGGGTTACGCGGGCGATATGATGTATAATTTCATTTATTTCATAATTTATGTATTTTATTTTTTCTTGAATAAAAGAAAACTTGGCAGAAAAATATACACTTATATATATTTCTTGGGAGAAAGGGATGAATTTATTGATATCGAATTAGCATCTGATTGATAACCATTTATTCCTGAATCGGGAAAACAAAAGATTTTTTATTTGTTTACTGCTTTCATCATGACATCATGATGATGATGAAAATAATTAAAGACTGATTATTGAACTGTCTTTGTTAAATCAATATGTACATAAATATCATAAATATACTTTAATTTTCCCAAAAGGTTCTAATTAAAAAGCATCCCTTTATAGATTGAAATAAAAAATTTGGTTCGATAATTGATTTCGATATTGAACGATAGTACTCTAGAAATTGTTGACAATATGATTAATATATGAATTATTAAAGAAATTCGAAAAAACGAATGTCTAGAATGTTTAACAATAAAATAAATAAGTATAATTTTGTTAAATAATGATGAATGAATGGAAAGTTGCGTGTTGTTTGTTTGCTAAAATATCGCAATTATTCACATATATTATTTTTTTTTTGCCACATGCTTTCAATTCTATTGATATTAAATTGGATGAACTAAAATAATAAACTTTTCGATATTGTTACAAAGAAATATTAGTAATTTAATTGTTCTATCGTTTTCTATTAGTTCCAGGGCATTGTGTCCCATTTCTGTTTAGTTTTAAATTTAAGTTTTGTTAGTATTTAGTTAGACTTTTGTAGATCAATGGCCCAATTTGTCTCCTGGCCAATATGCCATCCGGCCATTATGTTTCGAGGACAAAAAGGCCTCTGAACAATTAGTCCTT